CAGATTTTAGCCATGGGTATTTAACCCAAACACTAGACTTTTGTAACCACTCTCTAGAGCCCCTTATCTAGAGCACATAGATAGTTGGGTTAATATTTTACTCAATACTCAGCTAAGTTTGCATGGTTATCTCTCTCATTTCCTTGCTTGCTCACTTACTTGCTCTTGCTCTCCATTTCGGTTAGGTAATTACTCTTGCAGAGTTCTGTTACCTGGATGAAGACACATTGGCAACTAGTTTCCAAACCCCGAATTTCCTTTAATTTAAAAATGTATGTATAATATTTTTCCCTGGAAGTCCTCAATTGTAACTCTGAGAAGGAACTGTCAGAGGTTTCCATATGGGGAGGAAGTGATGCTGCTGCTCTGTTTTATTTTTTTTTGTTTGTTTGTTTGTTTTTGTGAAAGGGCTGTGTTCTTAGTAAAATAAATAGACCAGTTCTGGAGCTTTGGTTTTTTGTATGCACACTATATTTTAAAATTTCAGAACATAAAAAGTAAATACTACTCAAAAATCATTCCACATGTAGAGGAATGACAGTTTTTTTTTTCCCCCGCTAGAAGATGTTTAGGAAGATCTGGAAACATTTCTTTGGTAAAAATTTTGGAGAGCATGCTGTTGGCATGTATTGAGTAAATGCCAGGCGTTTTGCTAATGAACTCTGCATAGGAATTTCTCCCTCAGAAATAGTCCAGCTGAAAGCATCCACCATGCTGAGGTTGAGAGTCACTGCCTAGAGTATGAGAATTAATTTTGAAGATTGAGACCATTCTAAGAGACCATGACAATTTCTATATATGACGTCACCCATTTGAGGAATCTGAGGCTAATATAACACAGGCAAGAATGCAGGTTTTTATGAAACCCAAAACATTCATGTTTACCATTAATATCCTATTTTGTTTATTATTACTTTGAAATAAAAATAATACTTTGAAAACTTATGATTACTTTTTTCTCATAGCTGAAAACGTGTGTGTGAGTGAGTGTATGTATTTGAATGTATGCCAGAGAGACAGAAAGGGAGAGACAAAAGGGAGAGAGAGAAAGAGAGCATAAAACAACCAGAAAATGGTTGTAACCAGAGTTTTATAAAGATATTATTCACAAGATCTCCTTCAATAATGCCTTTATTGAAACATAATAATAGACCACCATGGATTACTTTTTTGCCCAGAGCTTGTCAAAAAAATTGCAAGCTGGAAGCATTGCATTCTACTTATTGAACTAGCTGAGATTTGACCTTTGAATACAGGTAAGGAAACAGTTGTCATTCAGGGAAGTTAAACTACATTCCTGGATGCTGCTAGGAGACTAGAAAGCCTCTTTTTATTTTATCAAGTTGGAATTCTGATGATGTTTCCATTTGAAAACAACCCCTGACAACACACACTCTATTAATAATAGTAATAGGAACAAACTTACATATATATATATATGTGTGTGTGTGTGTGTGTGTGTGTGTGTGAGAGAGAGAGAGAGAGAGAGAGAGAGAGAGAGAGAGAGAGACAGAGAGAGACAGAGAGAGACAGAGAGAAAGAGAGAGAGAGATTGTGTGTGTGTATGTATGTATGTATATATGTATGTATGTATGTATGTATGTATGTATGTATGTATGCACACTTAAGCATCTGTACATCTAAGCACGTGTGAAGCAGCTGTAAAAATGCTAAGACTGTCTTATTTATAACAGAAATTTGATGATCACAGTTCTTTTGACAGAAATGTCTCTTGGTAAGGATTTGGTATCCACTGAAGCCCTGTTATTCAAGATGATACTTCACACAGTGGAAGGACACAAAATCCTTCAGATCTCCTGTCAGGACAGTATTCAGAGGACAGAAACTATAACCTCATCCCTTTCCCCAAAGTATTGTGCTGATTATCACTTCTTTGCCAGGCATGTTTCAACATATGAATTGATATATGTGGTTTGTTAGATTGGTCTGATATAAGAAGGAAGCAGACAGGCATGATAAAGGGGACAATGGAAGACTATAGAAGCATGACATGAAGATGTTGTCCACAAGAGGATGTTCATTGTCTCAATGGAAGGCTCAGTTCTGCTCATACTACTTTTCAGCTCTCAGGATCAGAACCATATAGATTCCCTAAGGTAATTTTTCTTAAGCTACACTGAGAATGGATACTATTTATAACACTTAACTTGATGTTCAATGATACAATTGGGATTGATAACCTAGGCAGGTTAATAAATAAGCTGGGCCCTGCTTCCAGGTGGAGACATAGATCAGTAGTAGACTGCCTGCCTATCATACACAAGAACTTGGGTTCAATTATCAGCACAAAACAGAAAAACATTTCACACATTTAACTTTTTTTTCTGACCAATTTGTTTCAGATGGTGAAACTGGGATAACAAAATTTGTAGGTATAAAGGAATGCAAATAACTGTTTATTTTTAACCTGATTTATTGTTTCCATTTGGAGGACGCATTTTTGTACATTACCAGGTACATGAAATCTTGTCTTGGACCTCACTTTGATGTCACTTGGGGCCCCAATGAGGCGTAATGAAAAGAGGGAGGTATGAGGAAGGCCTGCGCACAGTATAGGGAAAGAGCTATTGGAAAGTAAGCAGGAGATATTAGTTCACTGTTTTGTAGATTTTGGTAAAGTTTATCAAACCTGAGAGTTGCTAAGGCAGTGTGTGGGTAAGTTAGATATAGACATATTATATACATAGTACTATGAGAACACAGATAGTTACTTTTTTGAGCGTCTATTCATCTATCAGTATCTAATATGTAATAGGCACAGTGCTGTGTCATGGGTGCACAGACACAACCATCATAGCCTCCGACTTTCAAGTGTTAGTAGTTGGAAGTGCAAAATCTTGGTGATTTTTCCTAATGTGTGCAATAATATAGACATTTTAAACCATATAAAAACTCACTGAAGGTTAAATGATTGAAATCACAATTATTTAGCTCTAAATTTATCTTCCTGATGTGTATTTATTGAATGGACTTTCAACTCAGTCTGCCTGAACAAAGGATTGCTGTTGAGCTTTAACTAAATCTGTGCTGGCCTCCCTGGAGAAAGGAGATTGGATTTCCAGCAGCTGGCCATGTGAAAAGACTGGCCAGGGAGGTCTATGTACTTGTCTGTTTATTTACAGTCTTCTCTACTCTAGAAAGCAATTGAAGTAGCTTTCATAAATAGCAGCAATGAACTGAGAGTTCAACAAATGGACATTTTACAGAAGTCAGTGTGAGGGGAAAGGAAGTAAAAGTGAAGTTGAAAGGCAGACTGAAGACCTACCTTTATGATATAGAACATTATTTCCTAGTATCCAGAGCAACCAAAGAAATAGCAATAGCAAAAGTGCTGCTAACACCAAATAAGAATGCATTACTTTTCAGGTGAACACTTGATTGCTTAATGATTGATGGCAGGGAACCTCCCCAAAGGGATTAATAAGGAAATCAACATCAATAGTGAGAACCAAAAGATAATCAGAAACCTCCGTATCTATTTATTTAGTCTACACAGAGACCAGCCTAGCAGCCTACTTCAAACTCAGAAACCCTATGTGAGTGACTCTTATTGAGATATGAAAGAACTTATTCAGTCCCAGCCTCTCCCATTTTCCTATCCATGTTCCTTTAACCCAGTGAGTTGTAGCCACCTCTCAGGAGAGAAGACACTGACTACATGTAGGGGAGTGGAAGCGGAGGGCAGAGGTAGACATGCTCAAGGGGATCATCACACTGTCCAGAGTCTGATGATCTCAAAATTTGCCTTGAATTTCTGCACCCCAGTTGCCCATTTCTTATAGTTATAGACAACAGGTTGCCATTTCTGCACACAGGAGGAGATCTGGATGTAGCTAGGAATTTCTGGGCCTCGGATATAAATAGTAAGGAGATGCAGTGTCAGTGTCCAGGTGGTTTTTGACACGGGGAGCCTTTCCTTGAATTCTTTAAATAAAGAAACTTTTCAAAAATAATATTGAATGCTTTGTGACTTTTTGACAAAAAAGCACATCACATTCCCATATAAATATCTTGAGCACAATGTTCTTTTATTTTCTTTATTTCTTTTTTTGTGGAAAGTATAAAGGCTATTCTCTTGGGAAATGTTTCTCAATTGAAAGAGAGACCTTAGCCTCCCAGTGTAGAATCATAGTTAATGAACCTGGGTGTGAGCACAGGAAAGAATTGTCATTTGTGCTGAGTTACAAGAGGAAAAAGGACATACATTCCTAAACTGAGTAAGTGGACACCTGGTTATTGGTTTGCCCTTATTATTTATCTGTGGCTGGTTCTTGGACACCTTCATGGTCTGAGGAGTCCCCAACAATAAGAGGGATCATGTCTTGTTCACACACTATGAAAACAGGTGTCAACATGATATCCCACTTGATAGGTGTTGGATGATGCCACTTACAGCCTAGAAGAGAGGTTCCAAACAGTTGGCCCAAGTATTTTATTACTGAGCTCAGTGGCTCGGATGGGTCCCTACTTGGCAGGTATCTGGACAGCTTAGGTCTAGGAGTCTGGGATTTTGGATTATTATTGAGATTCTGTTATTTTCACTCAAACATTAGCAAGTCATTTTCTCTCTTGAGATAACTGCTTATACACAGTTTTAGGTAATGATCTCTCTATAAATGTGACCTTCTAGCCTTTCCATTTCTGAGGGGCCTCCACAGACCATGAGATGGAGGTAAGCCAGTGGACAGCACAGATACCATTTGTGACCGCTGCATTCTGTGGAAAGTGGTGTGGAACTAGCCAGGGAAGGGCTATATTTGATGGTGACATTTGTCACTAACTAAAAAGAATAGACTCAGCAAAGAAAAAACTGTAAGACTTAATGGCTGCATCTACTTAACAGAACCTAAGAAGATTTCTGCTATAAGATGCTATGGTTTGACCTACCTCTGCACCTTTGCAACACCAGTTAAACGTGTTTCTTAAGAGTAGCTTAGTACTATGAGACCAGCTTCCTCACAGGTTCCACGCGTCATGTCAACACAGCGTGTTGCTAACACTTCAACATAGACCATGGGTCCACTTCCTGCAGCTGCTGCTGCTGCAGCCACGCCTGCTGTCCGCACCTTTCCCCAGTACAAATACGCTGCGGGAGTCTGCAACCCCCAGCAACATCTTAATGCACAACCGCAAGTTACCATGCAACAGCCTGCTGTTCAAGTGCAAGGTCAAGAACCTTTAACTGCTTCCATGTTGGCATCTGCCCCTCCTCAAGAGCAAAAGCAAATGTTGGGTGAACGGTTGTTCCCTCTTATTCAAGCCATGCACCCCACTCTGGTTGGTAAAATCACGGGCATGCTGTTGGAGATTGATAACTCAGAACTACTTCACATGCTTGAGTCTCCCGAGTCTCTCCGCTCAAAAGTTGATGAAGCTGTAGCTGTACTACAAGCCCACCAAGCAAAAGAGGCTGCCCAGAAGGCAGTGAACAGTGCCGCTGGAGTTCCATCTGTTTAAATTTATCAGGGACCACGAAAAGAAACTCGTGCTTCACCGAAGGAAAAAATATCTAAAAATCGAAAAATTTAAATATTATGAAAAAACATTGCAAAATATAAAATAAATAAAAAAAGGAAAGGAAACTTTGAACCTTATGTACCGAGCAAATGCCAGGTCTAGCAAACAATGCTAGTCCTAGATTACTTGATTTAAAACAACAAAAATTACAAAAAAATAGTAAAATATAAAAACAAATTAATGTTTTATAGACCCTGGGATTTTCAGCAAAGTACAAAATTTAAAGCATTCCTTTCTTTAATTTTGTAATTCTTTACTGTGGAATAGCTTGGGATGTCAGTTCTGTTTCAACTAGCAGAACTGATGGACTGAGCAAGGAAACGTAATTTGGATTATAAAATTCTTACTTTAATAAAAATTTCTTAAACAGTGAAAAAAAAAGAGTAGTTTTTTTCCTATGTCAGTAAGTCTCAGCAGTGGCAGAAGGAATTGATTTAGCAACAATTCCTCTGCCCTAAATTCTTTATGGAATGTGTCAAGGCAAATAAAGGAAAATAAATAGTGAAGAACCTTAGCAACTTCAATATGAAATTAATTTCCATAGTTAAAACAATGATGAAGTTTGAATAACAGATTTCAAGATTTAGCAATCAATTTGGAGAATATTTGTTGAATATCTACTATGCACCAGAGTTAAGTTTGATGTGTCTAATTGGCAAGAATTTTCCTCTAACAAGGACTTATTTAGAGGTGAAGGGAATATATAGAAATAATTCTTTCCCTAATGTTGTAACAAAGGTGATATGAAGGGATGTGGGCATTCAGAGACATTGTCAGACTATGAAGCCATCAGAATTGTACACAAAGATGCTAAGGATGAATGTCTAAGTATTAAAAATAACAATATTAGTGTGAAATACTGACATTTATAGAGTATTTCATTACAACTATGTCACAATATTGTGAAATTAACACTAAATAAATGGTTTCAAAAATATTTTAAAAAGTGGTTAGTATGGTAGTGAGATGGTCCAGTGGGTATGCATGCTTTCATCCCAACTGTGCAAACCATCGTAAGTTTCCTCTTCAAAATTTATGAAGAGTTGGGAGAGAACTGACTCTACAATGTTTTCCTCTGATAGTCTAATTTTGACATGTGATCCAAGGGAATGTGTCTGTATGTGTCCCTGTGTACACACACACACACACACACACACACACACACACACACACAATGATGATGGTTATGATGATAATAGTAAACTTTAAAAGAATGAAGTGCCTGTCTTCTATTGCTGTGGTTGAGATCATGAGACGAAACCAAGTTGGAGAAGACAGATTTTCTTTTTTTTTTTTTTGTCTTATTATTTCATGTCACAGTCTATCATTGAGAGAAGTTAGGGCAGGATCTCAGGGCAGGAATCTAGAGGCAGGAACTGAAACAGAGTCCTATTTTCTTTCCTTACCATGTCCAAGCAGCTTTTCTATATAACAAAAGACCCAAGGTTTGTACCTCCCTACAATGGGCTGGACACTTTCATATCAGTCATCAATCATTAATCAAGAAAATGCCTCTTCAACTTGCCTAGATGCCAATATAAGGAAAGGATTTTCTCAATCAACTTTCCCTCTTCTAAGATGACCTTAGTTTGCATCAATTTGACAAAAAGTTAATCAACACAGTGTCTAAAGTATGCCTATGGCCTAAGAAGGGAAAGAAAATAAATTATATATATCAAAGGGCAGTTAGGCAAATTACATATATTACTATAATCAATGGTTCATTTACTGGGTTTAATAAAGATTTAAATGGATACATACTTAAAATCTTAAGTGCTATAGGGTACGTCATTGAATTAACTATTCAGTTGGACTCTTTGCACACATTACTAGATACCACAGGAACTGTACAGTGCTCATATGCCTGATTTTGTTTCCATTTTACATTTTAATTTAACATTCTAAGCTTTTATGCTTATTCATTACTGCATATTGGTGTTCAAACATATTTGAAATCACACCAATAGTAGGGTAATTAAAAAGGAATGGAAAAACCTCTTCAAATTTCTGGGTTATTTTGATGCTTTAGGAGATTTAGTTACAAGACCACTGGAAAAGAAGCTGGGACTTGGATTATAAAAAGATTTTAACTTGAGGCATTTGTGATATTGCTTCCATTTTCTCCTCAAATTAAAATGAAAAAAGAATCAAAAGAATTTAGAAGACCTGGTTTTATTGTGTTTCTATGGGCATGCCTGAGAGGGCTGGGGAAAGGATGACAGGATAATCGTAAATGAAATGGACCTTAGTTTAATATAGTCACTTCATGACCAAGAGCCTAAGTGTCACAAAGCTCTACAAAGCACATAGTCACACAACTGGCTTATAGGTTCATGAGGTTGCCATCAAGATACATAAGTGAAACATAATGCTAAAAAAGAGCTTAGCCAAATCAAATTGTTACCTTATGATTATTGTTAATGATCAAGACAGAATAAGGAATCAGGCTTCTGCTCAGTTGGGAGGTGCAATATGCTCTGTGATTTCAAGTATAGAACATTCAAATATATTTTTTTCACAAACAGAAACACGATGTCATAAATGGAGTAATGAACCCACTGTCAATCAAGGAAAACTCACAATCTAGTTTTAAGCTTTGCTTTTCCATGAAAACTCAGAACATATCAGGTTTCAGAATAGAAATGTTTATCTCCATATCTGAGTTTTAAAATTCGTTGTGCATATGTTCTGTGATTTAAAAGTAACAGTCTTTTCCATTTTTCTCATTCAATTGCAAATTGCAATCGCACCATGTCATCAAAAAGTTATTTAGTGACAACTTATGGGGAGCCAAAAAGTTTCCTGTAATTTGCATATATTTTCCACATTCAGAATGTTAGCGATTAAGTTTTTTCCCCTGTGTTCACTTAAAATAATATATTATTATTGAAAATAAATATAATAATAAATGTGAAATGTTGGCTGTAACGGCATATGCTAAACATTTTCACAGTGCGACACAGCATATGCTTAGTTCTTCATTAAGAGATTTTTAAAATAACTCGTATTTAGAAAGAATACATTATCTTTTATTCAGAATTAATTATATGCTGTTTTGTGTACCATAATTTAAAGTGCTACCCACTTCTAATATGTAATACCCAGAAGAAACTATGGTTACAATTCATTAGAATTGGCTTCTTTCCTTGGCAATTTAGTGGCATAATGAACACACAGTGCTGAAATGCTGTTTGTTACTTGAATCAAAAGTTACATGAAGTGCTGATAGCTAAGAATTACAAATCCTTTATTATTTTTTTAAGCACAGCATGCCTCAGGAGAATGGGAGACGTCATGAGAGTAATTCTTGCATAATTAGTCACTTTTCCATTCTTTGATGGCTTTTAGAGTGTGTTTTCACGGGGGCTACTGGAATTTGAGGGGAGAACATTGAAAAGACATTTCATATTATTCAATCAGAAAATGGCTTCAAATTATTTGCTGTGTTGAGACATACACTTTTGTTTTGTTTTGCTTTTGTTTGTTTTGTGTGTGTAGGGGCTGTTTTTGCAAGCAAACTCTTATTTTTGATATGACTCTCACTTCAGATATTTAGTGAATGTGGCCTACCTACTCTAAAATGAAGTTGTCTGTCTCAAACAACAGCCTGGACTATCTCTGTTGCCTGCCTGGAATTTTATCATTTCCTTCTTTATTATTATTATTATTATTATTATTATTATTATTATTATTATTATTATTATTATTATTATTATTATTATTATTATTATTATTATTATTATTATTATTATTATTATTATTATTATTATTATTATTATTATTATTATTATTTTTATCATGAAAAAAAAACAATGCCCATTGAAGTCATAGAGATGTACCTCTTGACTAAGAAGCTGTGGTTTCGAGTCCAGATTTTGGGCTTCTGTTTGAGCTGTATGCAATGGCCTCACTTCTCCATCTTAATTTTGATTAACATTTTTGTTAAGAGAACACTAAGGTGTGATACCAACAACTCACGATGAACATGATGAAGGAGATAGAGGCAAATTTTATAAATGCAGAATTCAAAACATGAAAACTATGCTGACATCTTGAATATTTTTGAATAAAAAATGATAGAATTTACTAATAGTACTGATCTGATCTGATCTGATCTGGTGGAAAAAAGAGGAAAGAGCTAAGTCTCTATCAAGAGGAATAGAATCAGTATTTGGAGGCTTTTGGCTGTTAGTCTTGACTCTAAGCCTGTATGGACCATTTATCTTATGTGGTACTCAGCCTTTGTATACTCTAGGAAGCATGCAAAGATGGAGGTATGACTGTAAATTTCATTCATTTGATTTTTATTCCTTATAAATTTTACTTTGATAAAGCTGACAAAATTACTCACTATATTTTTATTCCTTAAACACAAATATGAGAATGTTTCTTCTTTAAAGGAAATATTTAAATGGAAACAGTTCATTCATACAACTTCACTCTGAGAAAGCACTGTTTATGCTAATTAAGCCATTTTTAATAATCTAGTTTGTTTTAGTCCCCTACATGTTCAACATATTGTTCATTGATGATTATTATTTTAAACTATGGAAGTTCACTGAGGGGTCATTATGTACTGACATATTTTCTATGTTTAAAATGACTTACACATAGTTCCTCCTTTCATAGGATTCAACTGTAGTTAAATAATGCCCTTTTTTTTCTAGCCAGGAGAACTCAGTTAAGTATTATTGGCAAAATTTATTAACACTGAATATTCTTAATCACAATATTAGGGATCAACTCTGATACCATGCAAAAAGATTTGGGAGAAATTCATTTAATGTAACTTAATAATTTGCATAACTCTTTCACTTTACATCTAGTCAATCATGGTTTTATAATTTAGATTATTTTTAGCAACATCCCTTAAAGTGACAAGAGTTGGATTTGCTTACTACAGCAGCACAAAGTGGGCAACTGAAATCAGAATCTAGCATTTCCTTCTTTATATTTTCTTAGGGTTTGAACCTGGGTTCAGGCACAGGGGTGTCTATATTCCCTATAATCCATTAACTCAATTGCATATTCCTGTGCACTGTACCAGATATTTCTCATATAAAGCCACTTGCATATCTACCACAGCTTCAGACACTTCATTTTTGTTAAACCTAAGGAAAAGCAAAAGAACAAAACTAAATCCCTG